AAATGACCTCTGTCCGACTATTCATTTCTCTTGCAGCTTCATATCGTTGGCCTCTTCACCAACTTGATGTAAAAAATGCCTTTTTACATGGTGATCTTCTTGAAGAGGTTTACATGGAGCAACCTCCGGGGTTTGTTGCTCAGGGGGAGTCAGGAAAGGTATGCAAACTGAGGAAATCTTTATATGGCTTAAAGCAATCTCCACGGGCGTGGTTTGGGAGGTTTAGCGAAGTGGTGACTCAGTCTGGTTTACATAGGAGTGCTTATGATCACTCTGTCTTTTATAAGCAATCGAGTTCTGGCATCATTCTTTTGGTTGTTTATGTTGATGACATTGTAATCACTGGCAGTGATGATGTTGGCATTCAGAGTTTGAAAAACTGTTTGGCTTCCAAATTTCACACAAAAGACTTGGGTACTTTAAGGTATTTTCTCGGAGTTGAGGTTTCTCGGAGTAAGAAAGGGATTTTTCTCTCTCAACGCAAGTATGTGTTAGATGTGTTGACTGAAATGGGTCTAAGTGAGGCTAAGCCTTGTGACACTCCTATGGTTCCTAATGTGAGATTGAATGCCGAGGATAGAGAGATGTTTGGTGATCCAGAGAGGTACAGACGGATTGTTGGAAAGTTAAACTACCTTACAGTAACCCGTCCAGATATTGCGTTTTCAGTGAGTGTGGTGAGTCAGTTTATGTCTTCTCCTAGGACATCTCATTGGGATGCGGTCCTCCATATCTTGAAATATCTAAAAGGAGCTCCTGGACGTGGGATTCTTTACAGTGACCATGGTCATGATAAGGTAGAAGGTTTTTCAGATGCTGATTGGGCAAGATCCTCTGTGGATAGACGGTCTGTGACTGGATTTTGTGTTTTTGTTGGAGGAAATCTTATTTCTTGGAAAAGTAAGAAGCAACCAGTTGTAGCTAGGTCAAGTGCAGAGTCTAAGTATCGGGCTATGGCACAAGTTACGTGTGAGCTCATATGGACAAGACATCTTCTTAGAGAAATTGGGTTTGGTGACCCAGGGACTATGGACTTGTGGTGTGACAACCAAGCAGCCATACATATAGCAAACAATCCAGTCTTTCATGAGAGGACTAAGCATATAGAAGTGGATTGTCACTTTGTATGAGAGAAACTTGAACAAAAGTTAATTGCCACTAATCATGTTAGAACATGGGAACAACAAGCTGACATCTTCATGAAGTCTTTAGTTGGTAAAAGGGTAACCTATATTTGTAACAAGCTGGGCATGATAAATATATATGCTCTAACTTGAGGGGAAGTGTTGGAAACTATGATTATATATATAGTGTAAAGGGTAAAGGGTATACTTGTAATTATTTAGTGTGTATATATTTGAGTTAGGGTGTACTGTTGACATTTTTAAGAGAAATAGATAAGATAACAGGACGTTTCAGTACTATCATCCAAGAGTTTGGTATGGTGCGGTGTGAGTTTGATCATTCCGTCTTCTATAAACATACATCACCAGAGCAATGCATCTATCTGGTTGTCTATGTCGATGATATTGTCATTATTGGAAGTGATCAAGATGGTATTGAGTAGTTGAAGAAACACTTATTTAGCTACTTTCAAACCAAGGATTTGGGGTTACTTAGATACTTCCTTGGTATAGATTTGCTCAATCCAGCTCTGATATTGTTATCTCTCAAAGAAAGTATGCACTGGATATTTTGGAAGAAACAAGGATGTTAGATTGCAGGCTGATACTCTCCTATGGATCCTAATTCAAAACTCTCACCTGGACAGGGAGAGCCTTTGGCTGATCTTGGAAGATACCAAAGGCTGGTTGGTAAGCTTAATTATCTCACCATCACACGACCCGATCTATTCTTCTCTGTCAGTGTTGTTAGTTAGTTCTTACAGTCTCCATGTGATAGTCATTGGGATGCAGTTGTTCGAATTCTAAGGTATATCGAGGGTGCACCTGACAAAGGTCTGTTATATGAAAATAGGGGTCATACATAGATTACCAGGTATTCTGATGTTGATTGGGCAGGTGCTCCATCTTTAGAGGCTCCACTTCAGGTTTCTCTGTTCTTGTTAGGGGAAACCTTGTATCTTGGAAAAGTAAGAAGTAAGATGTTGTTGCCAAATCGAGTGCAGAGGCAAAATATCATGCAATGGCCTTAGCAACTTGTGAGCTCATTTGGCTTAAACAACTAATCCAAGAGGTGAAATTTGCAGAAGTATCACAAATGAAGTTACTGTGCGATAATCAAGCTGCTCTCCATATTGCCTCTAATTCGGTGTTTCACGAGAGGACTAAACATATAAAACTTTATTGTCATTTTATTCGAGAGAAAATTTTGTCCGATTGTATTACCACTAGGCATGTCAGCTCAAATGACCAACTAGTGGATATCCTCACTAAATCACTCAAGGGTCCTCGTATTGGTTTTATTTGTAGCAAGCTTGGTGCATATAATTTATATGCTAGCTTGAGGGGGAGTGTTGAGTTGTACAAAATCATATTAGGATTAGGATGTTGAGTTGTACAAGATCATATTATGATTAGGATCAAAATCACATTAGGATTAGGATCAGAATCATATTGGAATAAGGATCAGTTTATTAGGAATAAGATTATTTCATTTCCTTATTTCATGGATTACTGAATGTATATATTGTTGTATATTGTTCACAAGGAATATTAAGAAAAACCTCTTCTGATTTCACAATTCTCGTGAAAATCCAACAGTTACTGCCCTTTGCTCTAGTGGCCATGCATGTTAAGTGAACAACCATCACTAACTCCATTCAAGTCATAAGGTGTTGATTTGTTCCTAGTGTCACGGACCAAGAGTTTCAACATAGCAAAATGGCCCATGTGGCACCCTAACAACACACATTAGCAGGGTTAAGCCTAGACGTATGCCATTCATTGACTCAAGGTCAACTAGTTTCGTCCTGCCATGGACTCATTAGAGGTTAAGCCTACACGTATGCCATTCACCCACTTAAATGCTTTGAGAAACCACACAACCCCATACGCTCTCCACACTTGCTACTCTTGTCACGATGTTGCAGAATAAGGTCGTGACATTCTCCCACAATCATTTGTATGTTCATCAGACATAGTCGTCAAAGTTGTCAACTTGTGGCACAACTTGATTGCTTAAGGGATGCTAGTTACCTTTAAGCACGACTCCATCATTGTGTCGAAACGTTATGACACCTCGGAGGATGTACACTTTTGCTTATGGTACACAAGATCTTTCACTTCTATGTTGCACTGTTGTCATTGCCTACATGTTGCACACCTAATGTGCGTTTCACACATGCTCTTCAATTTCACACGTCGCCTGCCCTCAATGTCACTCGTGGTACACCCTCATGTTAGCTTTCCATTCATAGTACTTAACATGCATCTTAGTAGTCCCAACGTATCTTACAAGCTCAAGGGAGACCTCTTTGACCAGGATCATTTGGAAGGGACCACAATTGTGCTAACGCCTTCTCTCCTGCTTTGATACCATTTGTCACGGGTCTAGAGTTTCAAGAACAGCTCGTGCGGCACCCCAACAACACTCATTAACGAGGTTAAGCCTACACGCACGTCATTCATTAGTTCGAGGTTAATTGGCTTCGTCTTGCCATGGACTCATCAAGGGAATGGCTCCAACACTCGACTAGTTTGTGCAGGGATGGCCTAGTCCCTTCTTCATCGTCGACTATGAAGAACAACTCCTAACGGTTCATGCACTCTTCTTTCATAAAGCACTTCCTACCTAAGGAGTCGTATGAAGCATTTGCCAATGTGCCAGGAGAAAACACGCTTGCCGGCTTAATTGTCACACCCCCCTTGAATGCTTCAAAAAACCACACAACCTTGTACACTCTCCATAACTGTTGCTCTAGTCACGACATTGCAGAATAAGGTCATGATACTAGGCACCTACCATACTTTTTATTTTTATGCCAGATGTGCAGCAGCAGCTTTTGCCTTCCGTTGCAGGCCATTGTACTCATCTTCAACAATCTCTACTGACACCAGCTTGTTCCTAGTCCAACAATTACCCAAATTGCACCATCCTGATACAAGCCAAACACGTACCTCTTGCGATACTTGGTTTGGTTTGGTACAATCTATTTATAACTAATTGTTCTAGGATTATTTGCATTTAAGTTAGTATTTTCATCCAAGGCTTATGATCCTGAACATTGTCCCCTTTAATAACTTACTTTGATAATTAGTTTTGGCATAATATTAAATGGTTTTGATAAATTTCCAAAATTTACCACAATAGAAATTTCTCCAATACTAGAAATCTCATATGGCTTAGATTAAGAGTCTCTTGCTCCAAATGTTATTTAGAAACCTCCCCTTATTGCTTATTTTCCATGTGAATGTGAACCTGTGAGTGAAGAATTTCTAGCCAGGATATCCCAAGATTGAAGTTAACCTTGAGAACACTAAATCATCTCTAGTTACACTTATACTAGGTGAAGATGGTTCTGATTGAAATCACCAAATATTATGTGGATTTATGCATTCCCGATAGTTCTCTAAATAATGAGATAGATGTGATGCGTGTCTTGATTAAGGCACTTTCAACCCTATCGTGCATCATTTTCTAATAACCATGATTGAAGTTAAGTCACCATAATTTTTTATATGAACCAAATATAGTTATATGTTTGTAGGATTGATGTGAGATAATAAAACTTGCTTTCATAACAACCTTGAATATTTGATATACGTTTCTAACAAAACATGGCTTTTGTGGTGCTTTACACTTTCAATAAGCATGATCGATCTTGGATAACCAATAATTTTTTGTATGAATCAGATGTAGTTAGACGTGTATGCTTAATATGAGAAATGAATCTTACTTTCATAATGAGTAATCTGGAAGATGTGATTAGATGTGATTGGATATTATACTTTTATAGCTTCCATGAGGATTGCAATGATTATCATTCATTGCTCAAGTTTTCTGATCTTTACCTTTATTTGTTCTTTTTGCTGATGCAGACCTTTGTTACACACAGAGTAGTTGTACGAGCCACAGGTTCAAACTTCTCTATGCTGGAAAACTTAAGTAAAATATCCATTTATTTTTATATTTAATGTAGAGTTCACTTTTGTTGCTTTCCAGATCAGAATTGTGCTATCAATGAGAGTCGAGGATGCTCTATCTATTTATTGGAATGGTTACTGCCACCTCTGAAATCTTTTGACAAATTTACTGTTGGAGAAGTAAGAAATGCCTGTATCTTTGAGATGGTATAAGTTAATGAGAACAAAGTAGTGATATGTGTTATCAATCTTTTTTCATAATGGTGCTTGTAATATGCAGGCTGGTGTCGTTGTCGCATTGTGAGATGTAATTGTGTCATGGAAGAAGTCATGCTGCCCATTTCTTGAACTCTCTCATGATGCAAGGTCAAAACTATTTCATGTAAGTTTGTTTGTCTATATTGCATTTCAAGCTTCTTTTTCCCTTTATTTTGGGGTCAAATTGATATTAATTGTAATAATCTATTTGTGTAATTCTTTGGTGTAAACTTTTGACATCTTTAAAATGCATCTTCTAAAGCCACATTGTCTTGTTTGTTGAGGATTTATGTCCAAATTTATTTATTTTCTCCTAAACCAGCAATATTTCTAATTTTTTTCTTAAGTTTTAGGATAATTTGGTATGCAAATTTTGGCTGAAAATGTATTGGTTTTTTGAAGTTGATATTCCAGTTTTTAATCACTGGTTTATGTTTATATTTATCTTTCTTCTTTTCTGTTTCATTATTAAATCTTGCTCCGTATTTTTGTTTTGGGTATCTTAGTGATTTTTGAAAGGTATTTATTAACATACTAGATTTATGTCTTGTTAAAATTCATTATAGACTCATGCATAGAAAATTAATTATGCAGAAGAATCCTAAATAAAGAAAACTCGACTTATTGCTTAAAATGACACAACACAATGTCAAAAATGAATTGAGTCCAGCGGTCAGGAGGTTTGGCTTTTACTCTGGAGACCCAGGTTCATTCTCATCAATGGAGTTTTAGCTTTTAAATAATACTGTTTAAAAGCATTCAGCCTAGATATAAATATAACAGTGATGCTACAGACACTAAAAATGGGTACAGAAAAATTGCATCGAAATACATGACCTCTGACTCGGACGTCGTCACGTAGGATATGATAAAAGAATTTCGTAAGTGGACGGCCATCCATACGTCGTGGACGGCCATTCATTCAAGAATAGATGACGGTCCATAACAAATATTTAAAAATAAGCACACTAGATAGACGCCTGTCCATCTAATGTGGACGGCTGTCCCTATAAAATGGACGGTCGTCCACAATAGATGGACTAGCGTCCATTTAGCGTTAAAATATTTTTTATAAAAAATAAAAACAAAAAAACATTGGATGGATGCTAGTCCATCTATTATGAATGGTCGCCCCTTTTATAGGGATGACCGTCCACAATAGATGAACTGGCATCCATAAGCAATACAATTTTTTTTTTTTAAATGTAAACAAAAAATTAGATGGATTGACGTCCATTAAGGGTGGAAAAAAAAACCTGGAAATCGAACCGGAACGAAAATTCGGTTTTTTTCGGTTTTGGTTTGGTTTGATTATTAAAAAAATCGAAAATCCGGTTCGGTTTCGGTTTTTGGCAAAATAAATTCTGGTTACTCGGAACCGGTTTTCTGAACCGAATATTAAAAAAAATTATGTGGTTTACGTTTTTTATTCTCGTCTAACAGACTAACACCCTAAGTCCTTAACACTACTCAGTACTCAGTACTCACTCAGTAATGCTCATTCTCAGTTCTCACTGCTTCATTACTCACGCACGTCGCATGTCGCAACCGCACGGTACTCAGTCTACTGAAGTCACTACTCACTTACTCAGATCAGACCTCATTCACCTCAGACCTCAATAAGTCTCGCATTCTCTCAGTCTCTGTCTCTTGCTCTGACTCTCATGCTCAATCTCATTCTCTGACTCTCACTGTCTCTCAGTTCCCAGATCTGTGTTCTCACGTCGTCGTCGCTCAGCTGCAGTCGCCGTCGTCGCTCCAGTCTCCACGTCGTCGTCTGTTTTTGATGGGTGACCTCATCTCTGTCTCTGCATTTTGGTTTTAACTTAGGCACTTGCCGATGTGAAATGGGTTTGCTGGAAATTTATAAGTGAATCAACATGTACATTTTTGTTAGAAGGATATGAATATGAATACTTTTGAATTGTTAGGACTCTCTTGCAAGATGAGTAATACTACAGCAACCGAAGGTTGTGCACCGAATCTGTGCACCGAATAACGTGACAAAATCTTGACCGTTGATTAATATTAACTGATAATAAATCAACGGTCAGGATTTTGTCACGTCATTCGGTGCACAGATTCGGTGCACAACCTTCGGTGATTCTATCATTTTCGCTTGCAAGATTGCCTGAAGCATGTAACTTCTGTTTTCATTATGCTGTTAGGCGTTAGCATTAAAATTCTAGTAATTTGGACAAGAAAGCATGTACCTGAATACACACATTTTGTGTTAACCAAATTAGTTGAAGGAGTATCAAGAAAACTAATGTTGATGTTAAATGCAAATCAAATAAACCATACTGATAAAATCAAGAATGTTTAGGCCATTAGAATGGAATAAATTAAAATATATATCACTTGAGTATCTTTGACATGTGAATATGTTAAGGTATACACGGCCTTATATAATCTGTAGTTTAGTTCCTCCTTAGGAGGAAAAAACACTAGGCTTTATCAGATGACAAGGACATGAGGCTCATCAGCTACATTAGCGAGAAAATATCTACTTTTATTTTCTGGTTAATGAAGAATCAATTAATTGTCTAAGCAATTTGCAGTTTTCTTTGTAGATTATTAACTTTTCCCGAGTCTTAATTTCTAGTGCATTTAATTTGTTCACTTCAACAAGATAATTGATTGAAGCTTCAATACTACATTATATTCACCAATCAATTACCAAGAAAAATTCCTGACAATTATTATTATTACCGAAAATGATGTTGCCAGAAGATCTGGTATTCAAGTTTATATGCTTCATGATACATTTCACCAACTAATGTTAAAGAATAGGTGATGACTTCTGTGAGTAAAACTATTTAAGATCTTTAAAATGTGTATGACCAACTTCCGCAGGTAGTTTGGACCAATACTTTTTATTATATGTGTACACTTGAGTATTGATTATTTATGTATTTATTTTTGTGAATTCTAGTTTTCAAAATGAAACGGTGCAATCCTATTGAAGGACTGGAAGAGGCATACGAGAAGTTGTCCTCTCCTGGGTATTTTAATTATTTCATTTTTAGTGTAATTGTATTTTATTTTGTTCATTATTTGTATTGATTTTTGTGTATAATTAATCGTTTCAGGAATTCAAGTGAGGAAGTCCCAAGCACTGCTGATTTAAAGAAGGTTAGTGAGCTTTATTGCATTGGTAATTTTGTGTACATGTTGAAATGTTAGTCATTTCCAATTCCAAATCCAATTTTTGATTATATCTCTTTGACTATTACAAGATTTCGATTCTTAGAATAATATAAATGCATGGTGCCTTAGACTATTGGGCATTGACTAACCACAAATAGTTAATGCATATTCCTTTTTTATGCCATTGTAGATATCTTCCACTAGTGACAACAACACACCCACTTTTGACACTTCACATGACACTCAAGCACCTACACCAAGACCACCCATACCTTCAGGTCCCAAACGTGCGAAATCGACTATTAGTAGGAAGAATACATCTGAAATGTGGGACCACTTCACCAAAAATGAGTATGAGAATAATGATGATTTGACGGCAACATGTAACTATTGTGGGAATGTTCTTGCTTATCCAAGCAAAAGTGGTACAAGTTGTCTACGTAACCACTTAAGTAGGTGTAAAAAGTATCCTTTGAATGTGGTGGACAAGAGATAGAAGACGTTATTCTTTCAACAAGCATCACGTAACCTCTCAAGTGAGGCTGCCACCTCTACACAATCTTCATTATTGTGATGAAAATTTGATCAAGAATTTATTAGAGAAACTATTGCCCAAATGATCATTATCGATGAGCTACCGTTTAATTTTGTGGAGCGTGAGGGGTTTGGTCGTGTGATGACTGTGGCACAACCTAGGTTTCAAATGCCCTCCCGTAAGACTGTGACTACAAATTGTTTCAAGATTTATATTGAAGAGAGTGAAAAGCTAAAGAAGTTTTTTAGTAAGTTTAATCACACAGTTTGTCTCACTACTGATACATGGACAAGTTGTCAGAACCTCAACTATATGTGTCTTACGGCTTATTTCATCGATGACAATTGACAACTACACAAAAGGATTTTAAACTTTTGTCCTATAAGTAGTCATAAAGGTTTAATCATTGGGAAGGCAGTGGAGAGATGCTTACTTGATTGGGGTATTTCTAAAGTATTCACAGTAACAGTCGACAATGCAAGTTCTAATGATGTGGGTATACGCTATCTTAGGACTCGGTTATCAAGTTGGTAGGGAAATGTCTTGGGTGGTCAATTTCTTCACATAAGATGTTATGCACACATACTAAGTTTGATTGTAAAAGAGGGGTTAAAAGATATGGATGACTCTATATTTAGAATTCGTACTGCAGTGAGATATGTGAGGTCTTCTCCAGCAAGGTTAATGAGATTTATGGAGTGTGTGGAGAAAGAAAAAATTGAAAGTAAGAGTCATTTGGTGCTTGATGTAGAAACAAGGTGGAACTCAACTTATTTGATGTTGGATACCGCAGTTAAATTCCAGAGAGCATTTGAATTATTGGAAATAGAGATAGTAAGTACAGAGATGAGCTTTCTAGTGGGGACAGGTCAAAGGGTTTGCCTACGTATAGTGATCGGGAATATGCACAGTACTTGTTACCGTTTCTGAAAATTTTCTATGATGCTACCATATGTGTGTCCGACTCTTTTTATGTAACTGGTAATGAGTACATGCGACAGATATATAGCATTGGGATGAAGATTTTAGAATGGTCTCATAGTCATGATTTTAGCTTAAGTTCTATGGCCGTAACGATGAAGGGAAAATTTGACAAATATTGGTAAAATGTTGATAATATCAACATAATGTTATTCATTGCAGTTGTTTTAGACCCTAGGGACAAGTTAGAATATGTTGATTGGGTGATTGGTGAGTCCTATAATGTTTTTACTGTTGATAAGTTAAAGAAAAAAGTGATGGAAATTTTGTTGTCTTTATTTAACCATTACAATTTGTGTAAGGTGGCTGGGGCTCTTACTACGCAGTCAAGTCAGCAATCTTCAGGTGCAACTGCACTTGATAATTGTGATGCTGATATTGATCCTCAAGAATGCATGAGAGTTAAGTTTAAAAAGAAAAAGATTGAAAGCCAAGCTAATAAGTCTAAATCACAGTTGGATAAGTATTTAGCGGATGACGTTGAAGATGACAATGACAAGACATTTGATCTCCTGAAATGGTGGAAGATGAATTCAACAAAATATCTAGTTCTCTCTTTGATGGCACGAGATGTATTGGCTATTCCCGTTTCAACTGTTGCATCTGAGTCGGCTTTTAGTACGGGGGGTCGTGTATTGGATCC